TCGTAGTTAATTTGTAACCTTCTGGTTTCCATTGTTTAACATACCTGATAAGATGAAATACTAAAAAACAGAATCCCGCATTCAACAGTAAGGAAATAACCAGTCCTGCCGTAAGGCCGTCAACTTTGCCCCTTTCCTCCATGCATATATCTGTAAAACTTACTGTAACAAAACATATAGATAATTATATATATATATATATATATATATATATATATATATATATATATATATATATATATATATATATATATATATATATATATATATATATATATATATATATATATATATTAAGATTGGAACAAATCCAAGTAGAACACTTTCTCGCATTGGCAATAGTAATAGGGTCAAAGGGGGAAGGGTTAAAATAATAACGTTTTTTCCTACAAAAATCTGGTTTCCAGAACTCCTCTCAAATTTAACCCAGTAGTTTGATCATCTTTTGGAAGATGACTGCTGGTGTCCTGTAGATGTGAAATTAGGTTTCGGAATTTTCATTTTCACTCCGAGGGTCAAATGGGGGATCAAAAATGATATTTTTCTACATAACCTTGTTTGCCAGACCCCCTGTGACCTTACATATTGTTATTCTGTACATGTCGTTGGCGACAATATGTACCTGCCCTCACTGCACATATTGTCGTCCATCGGTATATATTGTCGTAGGCGACAATATGTACTGTGAATATTTGCACATTTTGTAGCTGATATATTTTTGACGAATATTTACTAGTGTCATGAAGAGAGAGAGATTGACAAACACACACACACACACATACACACGGAGGGAGACAGAGAGATAGACAGAGAGACAGAAGGATAGGCAAAGTCCATTGAAGCATTACCCGCAATACTGTAGGAAGAAAACTTTTTCGTCAGGAAATTGTGTTCAGGATCGATGTACTCACTAAGACACCCCACAATACCGGACTTTTATTTAAGTTATAAATCAGCGTCTACTTTTTCTCATTATTCATATAGTATATTCATATAGTTCCAACACTTAGATAGCCCTCTCCCATATAGATAGTTTGAGTGCATTTAGTTTGTTTGTTGTTTATCGTTCCTTCGAAAAAATTTTCATTCATATTGAGTCGCCACCACTTGCCGGTGGAGGGCTGCAAATATAGACCTGATCTAGGCACTTAGAGCCTTTGAGCAATGAGAAATCTTTATTGTGTCCGCATCTACTGCGACACGGGACCCCGGTTTATACTGTCTTAACAACGGGCAGGTCTCCACGTCCCGCAGTGGGATTCGATCCCTCGACGTAAGAATCAACTCCTTAATCCGCCATTCTATAGAAAACACTCTATGCACTGCGCCACGCGGGCGACGACTGTATTTAGAGGCAAGCACCTAATTATTTTCGCGAGATTGTTAAGCAAAACATAATTTTCACAATATCGGTCATTTTGCTCTGTGTAATCTTCAATAGTACTAAAATACGAGAGAATTAAATTTTTGCGAGAAGACAGTCTCCAGTAACTACGCAAAAATAAAGTTCTCGTGAATAAAAACGGATTAAAAGTCTTAAAGAAACATTACAAAAAGAAATATAGAATGAAAAGTTTCTATATGAACTAAGAATAGATTCCACAGAAGAAAGTCTTAACAGGTCTCTATCATTCCCTCTCTAAAATAATGCATCGAAGATTAATGTGGAACTTGATAAAGTGCAGTAATTTCATTGTACATGCCATTTGCTTAAACCTTCAATGCAGGTGTCAAGTACATATTCCGATAAATACTTTAAAGTATTTATGAAATAATAAGTAGATTTACCTTTTAAATGCTGACAGGTATCACCCTCATAACCCTCTTGACAACCACTTGGACAACGTCCATTTATAATATTACACGACTCGTTCTTCAAACAGTTTGAACTACAGCGTTTTTCACAATTGTGACCATAATATCCAGAGGAGCATACTAGAAATAAATCAATTATTAAATCAATGACCACATATACATACATATTTATACTGAACAATTAAAAATGTTACTGTTTGAAGTGTATCTTATACTAATAGTAAAATTTTATTTAATGTACTTTCTGAACAGTTTTCCCCCATCCATCCTTTGTTGCATTTGCATTGTCCGTTTATATTATCACATATATCATAGCAGTTTACAAAACACTTCTGCGAACAATTTTTGCCAAAGAATCCCAGGTCACAAGCTAGAATTCAGTTAAAAATAAATCATTCAATTAATTTTTCAATCAATCTATCAAACAATAAATAGAGGCAATCTTTAGAATATATTGCTGAATAAATCTTTTTTGAAATATGAAATGTTATATTTATGCAATCTGCCCCAATTAAAGAGAAAACTTACGGGCGTCACATTTCTTGCCTTGAAATCCCGTCTGACATCCCTTTATACAATGACCGTCCACATAGTAACAAGTTTCATTGTTAAAACAATTTCCACTACAGAACTCTTCACACATGACACCAAATGTACCATTACTACATTCTTGATAGGATGAAAATAGTCCATTTTGTGTACAAAACATAAATTAAATTTTCAACGATGATCTTACCAATAAAAGAAATACCCAAAATAAATGGTACATTATAATTTGAATAAATCAATGGTGTCTTTTATCAAAAACAATAATTAATTACATATTAGCAAAATATTTATAAGTATCACCAATAAAAATGGAAAATAATGACATATGTAAATATACAGATATATTTATGTGTAAAATTATTCTTGTATAATCTTGTATAATCAAAAAAAAAAAAATATTAATTACGTTTGTTGCATTTGTCGTTCCTCCATCCCGGCATGCAACCATTATCGCAAGTGCCAGTTACGAAATTACAAGTTGATTTGTTGAAACAGTGCTTGCTGCATATTCCAGAACAGTTTAGTCCAAACGTATCAAGTTCGCAAGCTCAACAAAATAAAAGAAAAGAAAAAATTGACATTGGATAACAACTTAACACTTAAGCCTAAATTGTTGTTGTTTTTCTTTTTTTCCTAATATATGACACTATACCTTAATATATTAGAAAAATATCTTCTTATATGTTAGAAAAAAAAAACTACATGAAAAGAAGGACCCATGACGACATATAAGACCTTAAATGCGTCTAATCAAAAACTGTGAAAAAAATGGTCAGGATGACTTTTAGGAAGGAATAGTGCAAAGAATTCGTAAAGAAAAAAACTGAAGCTCTTGGTTGGTTTTCTTTCAAATGGCATTTATATACACTTCCCTGAACACTTTTTTCTGCAAAAATGATTGTATGTATAATTATTATGACCATATTCTTGTCCTTTATTTGTTATGATTGAATCCTTAGAAAGAAGATGATCTCAATCTCTTAAGATTATAGTTAACCCTAACAAAAAAATATCATAGTTAACTATAGTACCAAAGTAAAAACTTTGGAACTTTGATTTACTATAGTAAAAACTTTGGAACTTTGATTTACTATAGTGAAAACTTTGGAACTTTGATTTACTATAGTTAAAACTTTGGAACTTTGATTTACTATAGTGAAAACTTTGGAACTTTGATTTACTATAGTTAAAACTTTGGAACTTTGATTTACTATAGTAAAAACTTTGGAACTTTGATTTACTATAGGAAAACTTTAGAACTTTGATTTACTATAGTTAAAACTTTGAAACTTTGATTAAGTACGATAAATCCCGTGGAATTCTCTTTTTGATTCCCATTCTTTACATTTTATATTTCAAGTTTAAGATTCATAAAAGCTTTAGAGAACATTTTAAAACCCCGACCCCTCCCCTAAAGGAATAATGTACAAGATATGAATTTTAATGTATAATGTAAAGGTTGTCGCTTGCGCCGATAAATAAGCAATATTTATTTCAATGTATTTAATCTTAATGTTATGCACATGTAACGTAAGTCTTATTTATGGAGAAAAAATAATATATTATAAAAAAAATGTGTCATTTAGAATCAAAATATCTACTTCATCAACTTCAGTGAACATGTATTTTTTTTAAATTTATAAATGTAAAAATTGCATTTGAATTAACTACTTTGTATATTTAAATAAAGATGTACAACAAAAAACAGCCCCAACCAACCCCTTATCCACCCCTCCCCTAAAACGGCTAAATAGTCAAAAAAAAATTAATAAAAATACACAACTTGTTAAACTAATGAAAAAAAACTTTGAAACCTTGATTAAGTATAGGGAAAACTTTGAAACTTTAATTAACTATAGTAAGAAATTTGGAACTTTGATTTACTATAGTGAAAACTTTGAACTTTGATTTACTATAGTAAAAACTTTTGAACTTTGATTTACTATCGTAAAAACTTTGGAACTTTGATTTACTATAGTTAAAACTTTGGAACTTTGATTTACTATTGTGAAACTTTGGAACTATGATTTACTATAGTAAAAACTTTGGAACTTTGATTTACTATAGTAAAAACTTTGGAACTTTGATTTACTATAGTTAAAACTTTGGAACTTTGATTTACTATAGTAAAGACTTTGGAACTTTGATTTACTATAGTTAACTATAGTAAACTATAGTTAACTATAGTTTACTATAGTATTTTTTTGTTAGGGAAATTTCAATAAAACTTGTACTCATGTAGACTGCTATAAATCTATTTAAAGGCGTTGATTTTGATGAACGGTGTCGCAATGGTTATTGTAAAAGAATTTTTGTTAAATTCTTTAAAAAAACGCTACTAATATTTTCCATAGTTTTGATCTGATTTCAAAACGCTTTGGTACACTTGTAAAATACACTAAGATACTGTATTCTATGTTTTAGCCTTTTTTTTTTTAATTTCTGGTTCAACATTGCGCAGTGATTCCCTGTGAAATCAGTCAATGTAGAAGGTTGAACATGCTTTGTGCTTTTGCATTTCCTTTTCGAGCAGCCCCTCCATATAAGAATTTTAAAAGATATGAAGAACTCTTATATTAACTAAAGGTTATTCTCAATTTTGACCCTATAAGGAAATTCTTGTAATATTCTTGAGGTCAATTTATGACTAAAGGATAACATATATGCTTATGATGAAGGAGAATGTAAAGCAGATAAATACCTGCCTTGCTAACAATGCGGTACTGTAGATCACCAAATTGTTGTGACACTTTATTTTCGCGACATAGTTATTTGATATTTATATGCGAGAAAAAAATTTCATGAATTGTGCTTATTTCTATATACGTATAAACTTATTTGAAAGAAAATATACGAAAATAAATTTTTCCCGAGCAGAGTGTCTCGCGTAATGACGCAAAAATAAAGTTTTCGCGAACAAAAATGATTTATAGTATTTCATTACAAAAATTACAACATGAAAGAATTTTATGATACTTACTCTCATTGCAAAGTGTTCCCTGAAAACCCTCTTTACATCCATCCATACATTCTCCATAAACCCTATTACAGGTTTTATTTTTATGACAATTTCCACTGCAGAGTTCTACACAATCTGCACCATATGTACCAAAATCACATTCTGCAAAATAAAAAAATCATGATCATACATACATCCGAGTAACCGAGTACCAATTTTAGTATTCGATACTCGGACGTTCGATCGAGTACCGGGTACTCGTTGACATCCCTAAGATAGAGAGAGAGAGAGAGAGAAGAAAGAGAGAGTACCCACTATCCATGAGACAACTGTGCAATCCAGCACACTGGACTTTCCGACTTCATATTTTATTCCCAAACTTTTCCTTATAATTCATATCCATTAAAGCACTGCATATCCTGACCACTGTATCTTCCTAATTCTGGCTTTTTTATTTATTTATTTATTCATTTTTTTTTTTTTTTTTTTTGGGGGGGGGGGGGGTTGAACAAAACTCGATAATTACCTTATTATTTCACCTGGGTAATCCGACATAATTACGCGGGTGTACAGTGCTTAGTTCCTAGCCAGATAACATGAATGTTCGTTTTGTTCACAAGATTGGTCTACTTAGAGAATAATTAATTACGTGAACAAGTTTGAAAGTGTTTATGTAATATGTAAGCAATAATTGAAAAAGTTTTTGAATTTAAAAATTAGTCAATCAGTGATCTTTTTTTTGTTATGAATTTTTTTCTGGCATTTACAAAATAGCATCCATGCGACAGGAAAAAAAAAGAGTACATGCTATTTAGAACGCCTTTACCTTACAAAATGAATAAAAAAAGATTTGCACGAAATTAAAACCAAACATGCAGTCAGAGTCCTTCATAAAGGCATATCGCGAAAAAAAGACTTCTTCCAGAAGCAAAATAAATAAATAAATAAATAAAAAAATAAAAAAAATAAAATAAAAATAAACCATCTCTTTAACTTTTGCCATTAAATTTTAAAATATTACGTCTGCTTCATTAAAATTCAATCGCAACCACAATGTTATAGAGTTACGTCTCATTTGTTTGATATAAATGGAGAAAAAACGCACGTGCAGTAGAACGAAATGTAGTGTAGAAAGAAAATAATACTACTTTGTAGAGAAGGAAGATGAAATACATGTATTTACTTTTATATCTACAGTCAGTAGGTAAATATCTCGAAATATGGTGTCCCGATAGGGCCATTTGCAAAAATGTAACAATGCGCCACCATGAAGGCGCTAAGAGACACCGCACTAGCGCGTTGTTCACAACATGCCAAGTGTTGTTATTATTGCATTGTTGCACTTTTAAAAGTGACAACGCGCTAGCGCAAAGTGACAACAGGCCGATGCGCTAATACACAACACGCCGTCATGCTAACACAACTTTACACAACTCGCCGTCGTGCTAACACATAATACATTGTGTAAAGTTGTATTTGCGTGTTTTGTATTGGCGAAACAGCGTGTTGCGTAAAGTTGCAAATTTTTTGACTTGCCTAGATGGCCGAGCTGTCTAGCGCGCTGTTCCTGTACTGCTGGGAGAAGGATTCCGTAGGTCGATAGTGGGTATCCTGATACAAGTGAATTTCTTTTGTGCTTTCTACATTTATATTTCTTCACTTAGGGCAATTATGTTAGTTTAAGAGTTATTGTAAAATGTGCCTTATAAAAAAATTAAATTTCATTACAAAGCGTATCTGTAACGATCCTCTAATAAAACTAATGTCCAAATAACTGTATCTTACTTCCATTCTCAATGACCGTGTCGTGTGTAGGGCGGCGCCGCAAGAGTTCCATCGACATCGAAAGCAAGTTTTTGACTTGCCTAGATGGCAGAGAGGGCTAGCGCGCTGTTCCTGTACTACTAGGAGACAGATTCCGTAGGTCGAGAGTTCAAACCCAGATTGGAGCGGAAGTGGGTATCCTTATACCAGTGAATTTCTTTGGGCTTATATATATATATATATATATATATATATATATATATATATATATATATATATATATATATATATATATATATATATATATATATATATATAGATTAATGACTTGCCTAGATAGCCGAGCGGTCTAGCCCGCTGTTCCTGTACTGCTAGGACACAGATTCCGTAGGTCGAGAGTTCAACCCCGGGATGGGGCGGAAGTTGGTACCCTTATAAAAATGAATTTCTTTGTGCTTTCTATATTAATATTTCTTCACTTAGGGCAGTTATGTTAGTTTAAGAGTTGTTGTAAAATGTGCTTTATAAATAAAAATTAATTTCATTACAACGTGTATTGGTAACGATCCTCTAATAAAACCAATGTCAAAATAATTGTATCTCACTTCCATTCTTAATGACCGTGTAGTGTAGAGCAGCGCCGCGAGAATTCCATCGGCATCGAAAGCAAGTTTTTTGACTTCCCTAGATAGCCGAGCGGTCTAGCGCTCTGTTCCTGTACTGCTAGGAGACAGATTCCGTAGGTCGAGTGTTCAACCCCGGGCTGGGGCGGAAGTGGGTATCCTTATAAAAGTGAATTTCTTTGTGCTTTCTATATTAATATTTCTTCACTTAGGGCAGTTATGTTAGTTTAAGAGTTGAAGTAAAATGTGCTTAATATATATATATATATATATATATATATATATATATATATATATATATATATATATATATATATATATATATATATATATATATATATATATATATATATATACACATCAGAAAACACTCTTCTGCCATTTATATTTAGTTTTTGAAAACCGCTTGATAAATCATTCAGTATTATAATTATTTTAACGATGAAGTAAAAAAAAAAACCGTGGAGACTTCCTTAAAAAGTGGTTTTAATTGCTACAGTTGTAAAGCTTTAACTTTCTATACAGACTGTTCTCATATAGATGTTGATGAAAACAAAATATATGATTTTTGTACTCTTAGTGATTGGGATAGACTACCCCGTTCTATAAGTGAGATATAATACAAAGATTCCATTTTCACACCATCTTCCCAAGTCTGATCCACTTTGCTTCATATAAACCCTTGACCGAATATACTATGTTTGACGGGGTTTACTATCGCTCCATCTAATGAGATTACACAATTTGAACTCTACTGACCTCTGCTATTGACCAATCAGAGTTAGCGAATTAAACAGAGAATGGTAAACAATATTGGAAGTCGGAAATAAATTCAATATAACTTTTACTTAAAAGCTGAGACAATCCTTTAACTGGGTTATTTAATTGAAAAAAAGCTTACGTTGGGACTTAAAATGGCGTGTTTTTCTGTTTACGATTTAGTTTCAGGTAAAGTAAAACAATGTTTTTGATTGGTTCATGCAAACTTGTATAAGGCCAATCAGAAAGCGCATTTCTAATCCCGTCAAAATACTAGTGTCCAATAGCTAATTGCTCTTAAATAACAAGTCTTTTTTAAGGGGGTAGACGATGTTATCAATTGAATTCAAGCTTAAAACACCACCAGATTTTAAAATACCCATGGCTATGGATAAATGACCATTGATTGTTTTTTTCTGTATGTTAAATCATGTAAAATTAAACATATGAGATTGATGAAGTACATTTTTAGTTGTAATCTCTTCTGAAAATTAACATTTTCGCTGTTTTTTTTTTTTTTTTTTTTTTTTTTTTTTGTCTTTTAACATACATTCTCCCGTGAAACAACAAATAAGCTATGGTCTGAGTTTGTTAAATAACAATTCATAATACCTGTAAAAAGGAGTTATTATTACACGGGGGGGGGGGGTAAAAAAAAGAAATAAGTGTATATTCACGACAAAATGTGTTTATTACCTTTTTCACATTTAGAGCCTCTATAACCCGGTGCACATCCGTCATCGCAATCCCCGCTTTCTTTGTTACAATACTCCTGCTTCGCACAGTTTCTGCTACAATTCCTTTTACAATTTTCTCCGTATGTCCCATAACTACAGGCTGTCAAATAAAAATATTTTCTCATCCCCCACTTTTGTCTTAAAGTGATGAACAAAGTTTTTAATCAAAATTCATTTTTGAAATTTTATTGTGACATGACCCGGCGAGTTTTTCTTTGAAGTCAGCTGTAAAATAACTGCGATACAGAATACTCCCCCCCCCCCCACAACCACCACCAATAGGGGAAATATTTATAAAATTCAATACCTCCATTCTATTACTATTTCATGCTTATTGCCTAGATAAAGCCAATGATATCCAGGTCCTAACAAGTCATTCTGGTTTGTGTTAGATTCTCATGTATACCTTACTTTCATTGCAATAATAACCCATCCATCCTGATAGACACCCCTCACAATATCCAGTCACGTGATTACAAGAAATATTTCTGCATCGGGCTGGGCATGTTCTCTTGCATTCACCTCCATAATATCCAGATGGACAAGCTTAAAGAGATATTTATTGCATAAACTAACTTTTAAACATAATATCAAAAAATAATTGTTCAATCACAGTTTGCTTTCCTTTCTATAACATTTGCTTTCCCTGTGTTCAAAGTCCCGTTTGTGCTTTGTGTTTTCTTGTTTCTTGTTTCTATTTTCATCGCTCTCCGACCATTTGTTTTATTTTTTAAGTAAAGTGTGTTCCATCACTGTTACTTGCGGCTCATGTGGGACAGTAGAGGGTTTCCAAGATTGATCGAGAACGACATTTTCTCTGGATCATAATGGTCTTATTTATATTTATTGGGCAAATCAATGCAAAAGGCAAATAGCACAAGGATTTATTTTCTTAAAACAAGGCACTTTTCCATATCTTTATTTGTATTGAGTCTTAAGCATCTCATCTTATTTTAAAAACACACATGCAAAAAAATAATTACAGAAAGAGCAAATGGCACAAAATGTAATTTAAAGCTACATTTTACCTTCAAGGCACTTTTTCCCAATCCAGCCGTCAGTACATCCTGCACAAGTACCATTATTTATGTAACACCTTCTTTCTTGGCAATTTGTAGGACACGTTTCATTGCAGAGACTTCCATAAACATCATCTCTTTCACAACCTTTAAAAATATGTATTTCTCTTTAAAAATGTCATAAGGCTAAATATTAACTGCCAAAATAAAGTATTATCTTTGTAATTAATTTGAAGATCTAGTGAGTGATTTTGCTTCCACTCACTGAACGAAAACATAAGGAGAACTGCATGAAATTACCTTGTACGATTACTTCGCAGAGTTCTGTGGACGTTTCTCTCTGATTTCCCGGATACGTCACACCAGGAACTCTTTCGTTGTAGAAAATTACATATCGACCAAACGAAACACATATATGAGTGACGTTAAGATCAGGTAAATCCGGTCCTGTATGATTGTAACACACATAAGCCTCTTGTAAAAGACTGAAATCTGTACTGTTAGAGATGTAGAGTTTGTATCCATACATACGCTCTCTCTGTCGTTGTTCTATATAGCAATGAATGAGGTAAGTGTAAGGAGAATTTTAACATACAATGATTTTAGTGAGTTAAAGATATGGTAGAGAACTCCGCAATTCAGCCAACTGAAAGATGACTGAAAGACTACTGAAAAGTGACTGAATGACAGAGCTCTGCCATTCAGTCACCATTCCAGACCTTTCGGTGACCATTCAGTTGACTGAAAGCCGGGGTTTCATCCTGTGGATAGGATAAGCAGATAATCCTTCAGACAATAAAGATTTTTAAGAAATACAATTTCATTCATATTTGTCTGCCTTTCAATTTATATATCCACAAGATTTCTAAAAAGAAAACTGTTGATAGATAGATTTCAATGAATCTTATAAAAGGCCTGTTTAAGGATTTCTTTACAGGTTTGTAATAGAATATATGCCTATTAAGGTTTGTTTTATACCATATTCATATATTTTATAAATTTTTTAATAAACATTTTTTCGTAGATATTTTTGGCAAAAAAAAAAAAAGAAGTATAAATTTATTTTTAAGAAAATCAAGCTGCTGAAATAATTGTCCTTATATATTCATAGTTTCATGGTAAAAAATCACATTGCAGAAAGGAAATGTAAATTGTGTATAAGGTACATAGCTAAAAATGCTTGAAAAAGATTTAGTAGAGGGGCTGTTTTATCTTTGGAAACTTTTTTTTTAAATCATCTACCTTTTAACAGGTCTATTTCTTTCTCTGACGATCTTTTGGGACAGGACACTCACTGCTCCTCTGCTCTCTCAAGTTAAAAAAAGACTCCACACAAATATTTCAGATAAATAAAAAACCTAAATCTTGACTTTAAACGAGGCTGTTGAAATCCCTGAAACATCAACTTATCAGTGAGTAGTCTGCCTCGCTTTAAAAATTCACCGTACTCAGAGCAAGCTCTTGAGTAGCGAATAAGTTGGGAGATATGAAATATGAAGATAATGAACAGTATTCGATCTCGAAAGTCCAATGAAATGATAGAAATTTGGAGCAGAGCAAACACGGACTTCATAACTTAGAGGTGGTATCAGGTGCCATGGAGGAGTGAGCTATTCCCCTGCCGACAGGTCACACCTGCCATGTGCTCCTTGTCATGATCGGGAAACAAAAACCAAAAAATCCGTAGACAGTTCAGTGTATAAATAATTGCCTAACAATTAGTATGAAAAACGTCAGTCAGCATTTGACTCAATGATAGGTTGTATGTGCTGACAAGGTCATTGTATCAACCGAAAAACTTGCGAAAAGATGACTTCAAACGAGACTGTTGATATCCTTGTTTCGTCAACTTGTTTGTCAATAGCTTGCCTCGTTTTATAATTTGTTTATAAGTAGAGCATGCTCTTGCGTATCGAATCAACTGAAAGATATAAACCCATATGCAGTTGATAAGGGTATATTGCTACAAAAGAAAGGGAAGTTGACGATTGAAAAGTTAAAGTCATCACGTTTATCATAAAGCTTGGTTGTTAGGTTACCATTAAGGTCTTTTTCTAGTGAAATATCTAAATATGAAACAGATGTGTCAGAATCTGTGGTATCTTTTACTTCAAGCTTACTGGGATATAACAAGTCGACATATGAATGAAAGTAACTATTGTTAATTGATAATAGTCGTCGATTTATCGGAATGTGGAGTTGAAGGCCACATCAAGTGTTTTCTTCTTCTCATTTAGAAGTTTTTGAATAAATTCTGCTTCATATAAATACAAAAATAGGTCTGCTAAAAAGTGGGCGCAATTGGTACACATGGGCATTCCAACAGATTGTTGGAAGACCTGGTCTCCAAAAACTACATCCATGCAGATATTGTCAATCAGAAACTCAATCATCTTTTTAATAATCTTTTTAATCTTTTAATAAACACCATAAGCAGTTGATAGTTGAATATTACTACATAGATAAGGAAAGTTGACGATGGAAAAGCTAAACTCATCTCGTTTGACATACAATTTAGTTGTTAATTGGCCTTTATCGTCTATAGTCAGTATAACATCTAAATATGAAACAGATGTGGCAGACTCTGAGGTGTTTTTTTTTTCAAGTTCACCGGGCTATATCGAGTCGACATACGAATGAATATAACTATTGTTAATTGATAAAACATCGTCGATATTTTTGAAGGCCACAACTACTGTTTTCCTCTTCTCGTGTAGAAGTTTTTGAATAAATTCTGCTTCATAGGAATATAAAAACAAGTCAGTTTATAAAGGAGATAAAATAGTGCACACTGGAATTCCAACAGTTTGTTGGAAAACTTGGTCTCCGAAGACTACATAAATGTTGTCAATGAGGGACTCAAGCATCTTTTTAATATCAACTTCTAAGTACTTGTTTGTACAATCAGAGTGTTTTTTTAACGAAGTAATTGTGCTGATCACAAGATGGGAAAATTTTTGAGTTCCATTTCTATGTAAGAAGCAGTTGTCTTTGATTTATGATTATGATTTATATAATTTTTAAACGATATATATATATATATATATATATATATATATATATATATATATATATATATATATATATATATATATATATTAGGGATGTCAAATCGGTCAATTTTTGATAATCGGTTACTCGGACGTTTTTCCGATCTAGTACCCGGGTACTCGGTAAAAATGTAGATACAAGTATGTTAATTTTCTTGAGCCCCGTTAAATTCCGTTAAACCACAAAGCTGTTTTCATCACGTTTATAAATGTATATAAACATCGATTTCAACGTACAAGGATTTCTAGGGCCACAATAGGTGAGAACAGCTGGGTGATTGGTCACTAATTACTGTATATGCACAGTCACAGGCGATAATGGGTGTTTTACAGGTATAGAAAACTACACGCTGTAATTACCGTATGCATATTTAAGTTAGCTTTTGATAAGTTTTTGATAAAAATTAGTACTTTGAAAGAAGAAAAAATACACATCCGAGTAACCGAGTACCATTTTTAGTATTCGATACTTGGATGTTCGATCGAGTACCCGGGTACTCGTTGACATCCCTAGTGTGTATATATATATATATATATATATATATATATATATATATATATATATATATATATATATATATATATATATATATATATAAATTAATATATATATAAATTAATATATATATATATATATATATATATATATATATATATATATATATATATATATATATATATATATATATATATATATATATATGACTGCCGTCATGAGAAAAGGGCCCTTATCTTTTGACGTCACAATGCGCAGAAAACGACGTTAAAGTTGCGATATTGTAAACACAGAAGTGAGATTTTTTTCCGACTGCGTTTTGTGTTCACGTGTAAAGAGAAAGAAATAAAACTGGATTTCCAGGTGTAGCAAAATATCAAATTAAACGAAATTTATAGGAGACAATTTTAATTAAAAACATTTTTTACTATTTAGAACATTTATTTATTCATTATCATGTTTCTGTGTAAATATTTTACATTACATAACCGCAACGCTACATTGAACACATTGTCAGGTATAAAGCGATTAATAGCGATATCTATATAGAATGCAAAACTACAGATATGTTTTTTTTTTCTGAGCAAGTTGCAAATGCTTATATTTGACTTAGTCATTAATGTATTAATTAGTCTTAATACTAAACAGTAGTTTGTATATAACATTTTTATCTTTTTAAGAGAGAGATAGAGAGAGAACACCCAATGTACAGTACTTATACGAGAAAAAAGTACCTCGTGAAAATGTAGTGAGATATTCCATTGTTTATCATATCGATAAGCACAGTTATAGACTATTAAGTGTGGCGATGTTTTCCAAAAAGGGGAATATAAATAACAAGCAAAAATGTCTCCAACCAAATTAAAAGGACATTAGTTCAAAGTTCAAGAGAATCAAAGTATTAAAGGAGAACTGAACCCCGCTTTGTTTGAAAATATATGTGATATGAGGGATTTGAACCTATTTCAACAATTGAAGCTGTGTGTGTCTGGAAGGGGGGGGGGGGCGACCTTTGAACAAATATTTCCGTACTTAAAATTAACAGGAAGAGAATATTCTTATAGAAAAAAAAAATAAAGGGGGGGGGGGGGCAGTTTCCCTCTCTGCTTTGATTCTATTGGTTACTGGTTAAAGGAAGGTGCTGTGCGTATGTCCCTGGTAAAAATGTAGGTTTCCCAATCGCACAAATAAAATATTACATGTGTATATAGCATGTAAACTTTAACTAAAATATTTTAAAAGCTTTCTTTTATCTTTTTCTACAGTATTGTCGTATTCTAAGAAAGCTCAAATCGAAAAATATTGAACGATGAAATGTCATGATTCCGGAAAGCAATAAACTAATTGCACAAAAGTGCTAATGAATTCAAAAATACTAACTATTTGCTTAAAAAAAAAAAATTTTGAAATAATTATGAAGATGCAAAAGTATAATTTTTTTAAAATAACATTTTCTTTGTCTATTCTGTTTATTTTGTTCCGATGAAAGTCAGCTTGAAATAAATTTGCATTTTGCTTAGGAATTATTTATACAGTTGATGTAAATAAGCCCCCCCCCCCCCCCCCCCCCGAGCATAACTATGTTGAAGAAAATTACGATTACATCGATCGATAGTAATGTTTTTCTTGAAAATATGTATGAACAAAGGAAAATTTTGATTAGGCTGTCAAGAAATTATTTACTTCCGATAAATGACGATATGACGAAATCTTTTGATAGAAAAACGTACTGGTAACAAGTGGTCATGGTTGTCATTCAAAATATGAAAATTTTCAAAATCATCAACCAAATTAATATCAATCGCAAGCTAAACAACGACAATCAAGGAATCTGCATTATGGGAAAGATGAAAATAAGAGCATAGAGGGTATTCATATATGATGACCGTCAAGCGAAAACCAGGCTTAAGTGAAAAATATCACTTTTTCAGATTTTTATGGGTTTAAATAGAGAATTTTCTCCTCTTTCTTTTGATATATAGCTTAACGTTCAGAAACAACGATAATTACATAATAAATCCCCAAGAAACTTGCTTTAAACTCACATTAACGTCACAAGTTTTGGGGGATAACGTCGCATATTATTATGCCGTTACTGTAAATATTTTTAAGAAAACAGGACACGTATTGAATAATAAACCATTTTTTCACCTGATAGATGCAGATATTCAAATATAAAAACTTTCAAAAGCTTAAATTTTATTTTCACAGTTAATAATTTTTAATGGTCATTGAATAGTCATTCAACATTCGTTGATTAATCTGTCGACAGCAGTTACGTTACTCTTCCTGGGCGTCTGGGGAAGGAGCGACGGCGTCCTTGTGCGGGGCCCTGACAAATGGTCTGATGAATTTAAACAAGTATTCACTTCTTTCTCTACTTAATCCAGCTGCCGGAATAACATTTGGAGGTTGGATGGTGTCTAAATCGATCCGCTGTTTTAGCAGTTTTACTTCTGTGCCGGGTGAATCTGGTAATTCTCTGGCTAAGACAATGCCTTAAAAATTAAAAAAAAATTATAGGAGAAAGGTAAATCAAAGAAACTTAATTCAACAAGATCATCACGTAGATTTCTTGAAACGATTAAAGAACTAAGACAACACAATCTGAAGGCGAGTTGGAAGACTAGGCTGCCACCCCCTCCCCCCCATTTTTTCTTGGGGGGGGGGGGGGGTCAACCCAAATACATTATACAAGAAAAGATAATATTAACGTATTAGCATATTGATAATACAGGAACGTATAAACATTCCCTACATGTAAGTGGAAATAAATCAAATATGTTTGCCAATTATACCTGGTTTATCTGCTTGGAAGACAAAGTGTCTATATTTTCTGATGCCCTTGAAAGGAATGAAGTACTCTGAAGTAAATGTCTTCCAGTCGAGCCATTCTCCGTCAGCCCCACCAAATACAATGACTTCATTGGATCTTGCGCTTTTCCTAACCACGGATGCTAATTGCTCTAAAGAGTCAACCTCAGCCCTTCTGTATGATTTTTTGATGTAAGCAAAGCCAGCATCTACCAGGCTTTTGCCATGATAGGGAACTTGGATATGCAAATTTATTTTGGAATGCTTGCCAGTCAGCGTTCTCCACATCAAATATGCAAGCATGAATTTGTTTTTGTTTTCCCCTTAAAAGAGAAATATATGCATTTCAAAAAATAATATGCAAGGGTAATATTTTTGTTCATATTGCGGAATCATCATTGTTCGTTGTTTCATGGATTTCGACATTCGTGGGTCAACCCTTATCCACTAATTATAGTCCCCTTTGTCAACGAGTTACAAGATTACAACCCCACAAACCAATTAGATTTTGATTTTCCCTGATTTGGATTGTCCCTGAACATTGCCCCCAACGAATTCAAATGAATCCATAGTATTTTTAAATTAAAATCTTTATAATTTAATTCTGACCTGAAGCATTATCACAGTGTAAGTGACATTCTTTTTCACCTAGTCCAAAATTCTCAAAACAGTAGTGAAGCATTGAAATCACGCCAATTGCGCCCTTTTTCTCCCAGTGTTGAATCCTCGTCTATAAGGAAGTTAAACTGCTTCCTTATACCTTTGTAAAATGCAATCATTATTGTTAAAATCTCATCTCTTGCATTTGTAACACACTGGTTATATAACTGTCATTATTTAAAAAAGAATATACATGTACATGTATATTTTTTTTAAAGATTTGAAATCGTCTAATGGAAAGAGAAAACATATATTTTTTTTCTAATGCAGCTTATTTCAGAATATCAACCTTTAAAATACATAATGTACTTGAAATTTGTACAGTATATATTGGAACATTTTAATCAGTAATTCAATGAAGGTTAATAACGTGGAACTGTAGTACCTGTCGTTCTGCTTTAACTTCATGCAAGTGTGTACTATGTTGGTCGAGCGCCGCTAACTTTTCGTTTTCCGTCATCGCCGATTGAATGTCATCTTTGTGCTGTTCACAGACAGACACACGTCAGTCTGGGGGGACATAAATTTTATATTGGGACAGCAACTCTGCCAGACTCCTTTAAAGGTTGTAAGTCCAACTGCTGTTTTGTTGTTATCAGTACAAATATCTTTTATATATTTTATACAGAGACTGTTTGCTTTCGCTGCATGGTAGCAGTATGTGCCCTCCAATATTTCTGTTGACTGCTGCCGGCTGGGGCAGGCCATGCTCCTCTGCATAATTGGTAATGAACTGGGCAGCGTCTCTCAAGACATCAAAACTGTATGCATTTCTCGGCCGCTTATGTTTATTGTTGCCCGAGGCTGAAGGCCGAGGGTAACAGTTTCCCAGGTCTTCCCCATTATCGAGGGACAACAGTTTGACTGTTTCCCGAGTTGTCATGAAATAAGTGTTTTATTACCTAACCTACTATACAATTTCTTAAAGTAATGATATCGACATAATAATCAATGGCTTTTAAAATACATTGACAAAAGTTTGTATTATTTTTTAAAACCAAACTAAACAAGTTGAATATTAATCAAATATTCACACCGATTGGTGTAAAATCAGAAAAATTAATGGGTGTGATTTTATCATGCACTAATAAATGAAAAAAAAACATGTAGCAAACAACATAATGATGTCTTAAAAATTTGAATATTGCACGTTTATGGCAAAGATCTATACTGAATGAAAGGGGCCTACATTTTTCCCAAACTACCCTCAGAAAAGGTGTTCATGGCCTCTTCTTTGAAATGATATTAAATTGAATATATATTTAAATTGGTATCAGGTTACTTTTCAGATGATAATTTCAAATTCAATAAAAATGCTTCAATTTATATATAATTCAATATTATAGCTGTAAAGTACGGGAAATTAACTATGACGTCATAATGGAACAGTTCAGCCATGCAACAGTTCATTCTGTGGCCGGGTAAACAGTTTTGACTGTTTCATGATTTGCAAAAACATTAAAAAGAATCAGGAAACAGTTCAAAATGCCTAATTACAATTTATATAGTAGGTTAGGTAATAAATTTGAATATTACACGTTTATGGCAAAGAACTATACTGAGTGAAAGGGACCTACATTTTTCCCAAATTACCCTCAGAAAAGGTGTTCATGGCCTCTTCTTCGAAATGATATTAAATTGATAATATATCAGGATTACTTTTCAGATGATAATTTCAAATTGAATGAAAATGCTTTAATTAATACATAATTCAATATTAAAGCTGTAAAGTACGGGGAATTAATTATGACGTCATAATGGAACAGTTCAGCCATGCAACAGTTCATTCTGTGACTGGGTAAACAGTTTTGACTGTTTCATGATTTGCAAAAACATTAAAAAGAATCAGGAAACAGTTCAAAATGCCTAATTACAATTTATATAGTAGGTTAGGTAATAAAAATGTTTGTCGGCAAACTTCAAAATCTTTAAATTTATAGAGGTATCGAAGACGTTTTCTAGTTGCGCCTTCATCTTTTGACTGTCTGCGCCTAGCCTTTACCTTTAATCTCGCCATGATATAAAAATCCCTTTCATTTTTTGTCATCTCGGATAAGGAAATAACATGTTCTCTGATATCCGAAAAAACTAAATGTAGAAATACAGTTTTTCGCACATCCACATCCCTTTTCAATCAAAGAGCGCAATTTTACATCCTCAGTGCATGGGTTATCTAAAGTGCTGATATCGTCTTCATCGTCGCTGTTATCAGACAGATTTTCGTTCATCTGCTCTTCGACGTAAATGTGGATCCGTGCCTCTAAATTTGCTGAATTGTCATCTGATTCGCCATTATCGCTGTTATCGTTGATAGAATACGTATCTTTGTTCTGATTAGTGCGATTTCTTGTAGGGAAATATTCTGTGTTGATATTTTCTAGGTCATAAAATTTGTATAATTCAATTAAAAAAATTTTGAATGTATTGTCGGCATTATCAATCAAATCAATGTCTGCTTTAAACTTAGTTTATTTTTAAATTTTTGTCTGTAAAGCTAACGAATTTACCCAAAATAAGATCGTATTCATTCCCTCACAATGTCTATAACTTATATCATTATTCTTATTTTAACAAACATTTTTTTTAATTAAGTAGCTTTTCCAGAAGCGGATGCAGTGAGAGTGGAGTGGCGGACCCCCGCGGTTTTCAGAGAAAAAAAATCATTCTAAAATCTATATAAGTTAAAAGCCAAAGAATAATATTAGACCCCATCCCGGGAAAAACTCTTCTTTTTTTTAATTATGTGAAGAAAAAAAAGCGGGTTGTCGCTGATCAGTAAAAAGTGTCCTGGCACCCCCTTCCACTCGAACACACACGCACAAAATAATTTTTCAAATTGGCGTTGGTTTCTTTTCTTTTTTTTCTTCCTTTATTTACAATTGTTCTTGTCAAATAATTTTGAGGGTTTTTTTTCCCTTTCTTTCTTTCTTTTTTTTTTTTTTTTTTTTTTTTTGGATGATGATATCATCTCTTCCGGAAAATTTACTGGATCCGCCCTTGATTACATAAATAATTATTTTGATATGTACTGCATGTAAATGACAACGGTATTTTTTTTTTATTCCAGGAAAATTTACTGGATCGGCCCTTGATTACATAAATAATTATTTTGATATATACTAAATGACAACGGCAAAAATCTGCAAAAATCAAAAATATAATGTCAATTCTAAAATCCAGTTATTAACCGTTTCGAAACGTTGACACATATCTCCTTCTCGAAAAACTTCATTTACACAACGCGAACTAACGATGCTTGATATAGCTACTGCTGAACATACCGTGTAGCTAGGCTATCATAAACAAGTTATTTTCAGAATGTCTATACGCTTTGATCGACTCTGGATATTTGTGAAAATGTTTTTAAAGAGAAACGTGTATTTTTATAAACATGTCAACACCACAAAAAATAACTAAACAGATAACTTATAGTTCATATCCCGATCTTTTTTTTTTAATACGTCAAACAAACATTTTCATAAACAAATATTTTTCATATTTACATAGAGTAATTAAGTGTTATTTTCATGTTTACACTTCCTGTTAAACGCTGTGGAATTGAAGTATGAAGATAGCGAAAAACGATTGTGAAGAGTGCAAGCTGCTAAGTTACAAATGATGATCGGCGAAGATTGACAGTTTAAGTTTTAACCTGTGTTTAGATGTTTAACATCAATGATACACGTGTCAACGGATAGACTAATGATCCTCTGAACATGTAGACTTATAACAGTACTTACGGACAGTTCCATGATCCCTCAAGTAAATCATTAACTCTCAAAGATGAAGCAGCGTTGCAGAAAATGATTCCATCACGACGTTAAAATATGACGTCGACTTTACCGCTTGATTTCTCGATAACGTCACAATGCACTTAAGCCTGGTTTTCCCTTTACGGTCATCATATATGTACAATTTACTTTGTGCATGTAGCTGCAGATCTGTAGCTCGTTGTTCTGCATGAGGAAATTGAGTGGAGGTCCGGGAAGTTAGGTAGAGTGCCACCCATTGAAAAAAAAATATGCACAAAAAAGTACACTGTTTCTTGATTATGTCATTGTATATTTAAACTGCCAGCTCAAAATATTACAAACCATGAATTCTTTACATGCATTATAATTTTATTGCATGATCTGAGAAATATAAGGATTTGTTCAACCAAGAATAATCTTATCCTCGAGGTCTTAGCTGAGGTGGATACGAATTTTACTGCATTGCTAATTTAATGTTCTAATTTACCTCATGATCAAGCAATGAATTGTTTATTTTATTGAAAAAAAAAAAAACCAAGGTTTAAAAATAAACACAAAATTTCAAATTCGGCACCACTTTCAAATTCACTTTTATTTTTAAAAACATCAATTCAATGTCTTCCATATTTTCTACCCCCTTGTTTTAGTATCCATATTGGAAAGGAGATCGCTATTTTCTTCACCGTTTGGTAGATGTATCCATTCTTTTATTGTCAATTTTGCTTGCTCTTCGAATTTTTCGTTTTTACAAACGTTTGAAACTTAATGTGAAAAAATGCACGAGGTTTTAGAAGCGGATGACTATGACGAACAGCGAAGCGACGAAAGGGAATTATGAGACCCTGTCACGTACATGTAACTGTCTAGAACCCATCAGATAATGCGTTTATAGAACAGTTAAAACGAGGTATAGTAAATTCTTTCACTACTTCTTCAATTATGATGACCGTGAAATATGTAAGGTATTTTCAAAAAAAATAAAAATAAATGACCATTAAAAAACACGTACGAACCTCTCGGCTTTTATTAGCTCAAACATGGCAAATGACTGCCGGCTATAGTTCTATATCCGGCAGGTGAGAATTATTATCTGGCAATATATTCGCACAATCCGACATAGGGAACCATTTATTACAGACACAATCTCCCTTTTTTTCTTTTTGAAATTAGATTAGCGGCTCTTTTAAGCGAGGTACAATTAGGTGTGTACGAGTGTAAGTAGCGTTGAGAAGGGGGAAATGTTTGAAATTAAATTCTAACAATTAAAGTTAGCAAAGGAGGGGAAAAA